ACAACGTGATTGACACAAATAAGCAAAAAATTCAGTCTTAGCTTCATGGATTAAACCAGTTTATTTGACCTCACTTTGAGTTTGTGACCCATTAGTTAATATTGATGTCTGGCTCTCTTCCAGAGTCTCTTTTACCTGGTTCCCTCCCTGAGGCTGGTTGTGTTGGAGCTTTCTTCCTGTTAAAAGGGAGATTTTCCTTCCCACTGTCACCAAACACTTGCTCATAGGGGGTCGTCTGATAGGTTTTCTCTGTATTATTGTACCTTACAATATGAAGCACCTTGAAGGTGACTGTTGTTGTGACTATAAAAATAAAAAAATATTTTAAACGATCAGAGTTGTCTGGTCGGTGTGATGTGTTTACAGGTGTGTCGATAACGACAGAATCTGCGCTAAACATTTACCTGGATGGAGATTTTCATTTGCAAACATGTTAGCATGGATTTAAATGGAGTCTTTGGCAGCTTTCTAACACATCTTTGTGCTGCCTCCGTTTGTCTCTACAGCTATGGGAGAACAAGCTTTTGCAGTCCAAGGCAGTGGAGGGCTTCCATACTGACGAGCAGACAGCCCTGCAGGCTGCACAGCAGCAGCAACAACAGGTTCAGCAGGTCCAACAAGTCCAGCAGGTGACCCAGCCAGCTCAGTCCCAGCAAGTCATCCTGCCGCCCCAGCAACAGCAAGGTTAGCCAGCAGTGGCACACAGTGGTAAAAACATTTCTGAACAAGTGCAAAAACCCGTGAACGCCTTTTTGGGCACTAAAAATGTCGCCTGCAGCTTTGAGGTATTTGCCGAACTGGCACAGGAAACAATGAATGCTTACTGATCGTGTGCATTCTTTGTACATTTTATGAAAAATATGAGGAATTGACCTGAAAATGTTTGTCTCCGCAGCTCCCCAGCAGCAAGTCATCGTTCAGGAATCTAAGCTTATACACATGGGTGGAACGGGGATGGTGAGTGGATCATAGCACCAAAAATAAATGAAACTGTTGTTCGGGGAGGCATATAAAAAGTAGCAAATGTGTTTATTAGCAGACATAAGTGATGCGATATCCATATGTGTGATGAACAGAACGAAGTGCTGCTCATTTTACGTTTTTAACAAATTCAGACTTATTTTCTTTGAGTAGAAGTGAGAAACAACAGAGGGTCTCTGCAGGCTTCTTCCTTAGTCCAGAATGATTGATCAAGTGTCCCACGGATGGGGCAACAGGGCTTGGAAGAGATTAACGGACTATTTTAATAGCCAGGACTGCAGTGGGTATAAGCCAGCAGTAATGCATCCTCCCACATGCTACTGCTGTGTCTAATACGCACTGACAAACACGCCTTTCCTTCATCGAGTGAAATATGCAGGAAATCTTTTCCACTTTTTTTCAACAGCACATGTTTAACGCAGCATCTGTCCATACGAAGCTTTCATCTCTGCTGCTGCTTCTTTCTGTTTTCTGGAAGTGATTTTTGTATAATCCTCAAACGGTTCTTTAAAGCTTCACTTGCCAATTTTTAATCGTTTTCCAGTGGCTTTGTAGATGCAGCGAGAGGACAAACATGCTGCTTTTATCATGTCAGTCAATGCGATCTGAAGTTCAGTGCTGCAAATTGTAAAGAAGTTCAAAAACAGGAAGTACTTAACATTGAAGTCTTTCATTCTTGAACCCTGAAATCCTCAGCTTCTGTATTATTTTGCACGCTTGTCACCGCGTGTGTTCTTCTTTCCTCCTCTAGAGTGCAGCAGCTACCGCAGCAACCCTGGCTTTGCCCACAGCGGTCACCCAATACCAACAGCTCCTCACCAGCCAAGGTAAAACATGTTTATTTGCATTAAATTGCAAAGAAATGCTCCTTTCTCTCCGAACTATCTTCATGTGTGAAACTATATTTACACAACGTGCACCCACACGCTTTGTTTTGACGTCTCAGGCCAGATCCTGCAGTTAGTCCGTGGTCCCAACGGGGCTCAGTACATCATCCAGCCCCAGCAGCAGATCCTCCTGCAGCAGCAGATGCAGCCTGGTGGCGTGCAGGCGCCGGTAATACAGCAGGTAAGAACTGTCATGCAGAGGGGCAGGGCTGCATATGACATAAAAACAAAGCCAAATGGAGAGAGGTGGGGGAAAAAAGTCGTGGTGCGTCTGATTTATTTGCGTAATCAGTTCAGTGTCCGTTTGTGAGAAGTAGGTTAAATAAGGCTACATATCTGTGGGCCCTGTGGCTCTGACACAGTGGAAGAATCAATTCTTGGAAAAATAACCTCGAAATATGTAAGAAGTGCCATGAAAAACATGAAATGATTCCGGGAAATCGGGAGGATGCTGATTGCTCAGAGCTTACCCCAAAAGAAATAGATCCATGACTCCACTAATGTGACTTTACCTAAATAAAAACACAGATTCAGATCAAAACTAGTGCCAAATTTCATTCATTCAGTTTAAATTGAGTCAGTTAAAATGTTGCAAAAGTGTTGTGCATATTCAGGTGGAGATCTTGTTTTAAAATAGTTTACATGTCGTGTTTGGTTTTTTTTTTTCCTTCTCTAATATCTGTTTAGGTTCTGGCTCCTCTGCCGGGAGGCCTGTCCCAGCAAGCAGGAGTCATCATACAGCCGCAGCAGATTGTCTTAACCCCAGGAAACAAAGTCCAAGGCAATACACAGGTCAGAACTTCAGTTCCTCCTGGACTCATTTCATTTATATGGAAGTAGTTTATGCTCTATAGTAGTGTTTCCTCCATTTCTGTTCTCTTTGTTGTTTAGAGAAATTAGTTTTAGAGGAGCGTCTGGGAAACCTTTGTTATTAATAATAACACCTGCACTGTGAAAGCATCGTGCATCAGTCAGTGTCACATTAGCCGATTACACTGACAAACAGCATTTCCACTCAGATGTACTTTTGGTGCAACTAGCTACTGAGCTACACTGCAAAAATCTGCAACATTAGCTTTTAAATCAACAGGCTAACATTAGCTCAGAGGTCTTCCCTCCATGAATTCTGTTCTTTAATAACTTTTTCTTTCAGTTGTTGGCCAGCATTAGCTTACTTGCTAACACAGACTTGATACCCAACATGGCGACTAGCTGGCTGACCTTATCTTTGCTACAAAAATGCTCCTTGAAGTCGCATCAATTTTGCTGTCCTGTCCTTATTTTGGCTTTGAGTTGGAGTCTGAGTAAAGAGCTGGTTATTTTGTCCCACATGAAAGCAATGCTAACATCATATGGGCGTACATGTTTTTAAACTCTGAGTTCCTTTCTACCGTCAGGTGATGCAAGCAGCAGCTATGGCGCCACAGCCCAGCCAGGCAGCAACAGCTCAGGTCCAGCAGGTCCAGCAGGCCCCAGGAGTGACTGCACCCCAAGCCTCAGCGCAGCCTCAGGCCCAACAGCAGCAACAGGCCCAGCCTCAGGCCCAGCAGCCTCCCATGATGCTGCAGGTGGACGGAACCGGAGAGACGTCTTCAGAAGAGGACGAGGAGGAGGAGGAGTACGACGAAGATGACGATGAGGAGAAAGACAAGGATGGAGCAGAAGATGGGCAGGTTGAAGAGGTGAGTGAGGGAGGAAATAAGAGTGTTCAAAAACTCGCACGTTAAAGTAGCAGTAGGCAAGAATTTTATGGTCATTTATTATGAAGTAAGAAAGCCGTAGACTTGTAGCACTGATGTTTCTGCCCCTCTTCACAGCTTTTGTTTTCCAGAGTAGCTAGCAGTAGCTTTCCACAGGTAGCTGTTGGATTGGAGCGGCTTTGCAAAAACCTGCCAGAAGAAAACCCGTTGTCATAGTTGGGGCAACGAAACAGAAACACCATCAGTTTGTGGCAACTGTCTTGCTGCATAGTCTTTTATTTCTCACCCTGAAAGAGCCACAGTGATGCTGCTTCAGGGTTAGACTACAAAAGCATCATTTCTGCAGCACTTTGTTACCCTGATACATCCGGGTTGCTTTTTAAGGTATCTGGTCAGCGCCCCAGCTGAACAGAGGTTTGGGGAATGAAAAAGCTGCTTATTGCTACACTACAAAGTAGGGCTGCCACTAATCGTGGCAGCCCTACTTTGTTAGTGTAGATTTAATAGTCGATGCGTCGTTTGAAGCTTTGTAAGATCACAAAAGACGCAGGAATAAGTAGTAGGATTTAAGAGTGTAATAACGGACTG